AAAGGGAAACAACACAATAAAGGAGGAGACTATATTTAAAAGAAGAAAAACTACCACAACAAGAGGACATAGTCCTAAATTAGAGGGACAAAGGTTTAAAAATAAAATCAGGAAGTATTACTTTACTGAGAGGGTAGTGGATGCATGGAATAGCCTTCCAGCTGAAGTGGTAGAGGTTAACACAGTGAGGGAGTTTAACCCCTTAAGGACACATGACATGTGTGACATGTCATGATTCCCTTTTATTCCAGAAGTTTGGTCCTTAAGGGGTTAAGCATGCGTGGGATAGGCATAAGGCTATCCTAGACTTAAGATAAGGCCAGGGACTAATTGCTGTCACATTCTATGTTTCTATGTTTCAATTTGGTTATAAAATTATTATCTTAAAAAGACTGGACACCAATGAATTCCGTTGGTTGTCTACGTTTACAATTGGTATGCCATGATGGGGATAATTCTTATTCTTGGGCTGCAATATTGTCTCAAAGGCAATATAGCCCCAGCAATCTGGCAAACTGAAATGGGCAAGCCCTATTTTGACCCTGTAATTTTTCAAAACCCCATAAAACCTGTACATTGGGGTACTGTTGTACTTGTGAGACACCGCTGAACACAAATATGTGTATTTTATTCTAATAAAAGCTAACAGTATTATGACATTCACAGTTAAAATGACAGGCAGAACTTGAAAAAAGCTTGGTTGAAAGGGTTAAAGAGGCTAGATTAACCCTCAGTGTAAACATAGCTGTTTCTCTAAAACTGCTATGTGTCCAGCTGCATGGTTAAAACTAAAGGGACCTGGCACCCATAGTGGTCCTTTAAAGCATATTTGGTTCCAAAAATATTGTACCTTTTATTCATTAGATTGGGATAGAGTAAAACCTGTCAAAATGGATACATTGTTGCTGTTGCAGGGTTATACAATGTGCAATCATATACTTTGACTAAATCCAAAATCAGGTATAAATACTATATGGGCTTTAAAGTGGAATACACAAAAATTAAGGGCTCAAACTCCAATTACTTTTGGGTGACATCAATGGCTACAGTATTATCAACCAAAATACACAAAAAGCAACAACAATAAACAGAAAAAAAAATGCATGCACAGTATCCCATATCCTCATACACATTTAAATAACAGTATCAATCCAATGGCCATTACATTATACTCTATTATGGGTTAATAAGTGTGTAAGGGTTTATATTAACACACCGTTCTGTCTCATTTGTGTTTTCGCTGAAAGCAGCAAGGTGAATTGTTTATGTAGGACCCACCTAAAGGTTTGCCTTGATTTGGCAGGTGAGCTTGCATTTTTAATGGCCATTGGAGTGATACTAAAAACCTCCACAGAAATACATAGCATAACACTGTCTGTAAAATCACTACTTTTGGATTAAGTCTCTGCTCTATTTGGCTCTCACTATGGAAACTATTATTCTGTACAGTATTATTATAAGCTTAAAATAAGCTTTATGAACATGCAAATAGCATGCAATAACAGATACATTCATGACCCAGATATGGAACATAAGACAAGCATAGTGATTTAAGATAGTGAGCAGGTCTCTTTTTGTTTGATTTTGTTCTATGAAATTGGTCTGATGAATACTATAGCCGTTGCTTGAATACAGGGCTTAATTTTAATTTTCACTTAAACTTTATTTCACCCACCATTCCCTCCTCCTGTCTACCCTGTTTTCAGCCTACTACATGGCATGCTTCTCTATATTATTAATATCTTACTTACTTACCTCCTTATTTTATTTACATCTCAACAATGACCTCAAATATCCTTTAATTTTCTTTGACTGTCACAATTAATTTCCCCGTTAGCTATTTCAACATCCCATTTTAATCCTTAGATTATACACTCGTGGGCTATCTGGCTAAGTTCCTTGTATAAAGATCTTTCATTGCTCATCTTAGCTCCTGGGCAGAGTTCTCTGACCCTTCTGTATTGATTTGCGTATATAGTACGGTCTTTTTCCCAAAATTTGGGCAACTTTTCATTAGTGACATTGAAAGAGGTCGAACGAGAGCTTTAAAAGGCAAACTCAATTGTATTATTTCTTGGATGTGGGCCTTGTTCTCCTACACTCCATTTTCAGGATTTCTGAAGGGGATCAGTAGCCAAAGCTTAAACCTGTGATTTATACGGAGAAGAAATTAAGAAAACTGGAATGAAAACATGCTAATAATTCTTAATACTTTACAAGTCAGTTTCATCGATACATTGGAAAACCTTTCACCTTCACCGCTACAGCTTTGGATGTTGGCAAGGAGAAGTGCTTGCTTATTCATTCCAGGGTGCCCTGCATCACCCACTCCAAAATTTGGTAATAAATCGGAAGGATATTCCTTGTGCCATGGCAACTGTGCCCTGGCATTAGTCATAGTGACAGATGTAGAGGACACAGAGTAGTTTCACCATGATTAAAACAACTGTCCTTCTTAAAGTCACTTGTAGCCTTTCCATCTAGCCTGTTCATCCATAGAATCTGTGGATAGGACATCTTCAGCAACTGCACAATAGCTATCCTAGCTAACCTTGTTAGGTAACTGAGTTAGCTTGCTAATTCTAGCCAATTATTGTGGTATTCAGCCGAACAGGATTTTTTTTTTTTTTTTTTTTTTAAAAAGGAGCCTTTTACTAGTATTTTCAATTGTAGCATTTTGATCACATCTATAAATGTAGTATAAAAACTGTGACAGATCCATCTGTATGAATAGTATTGCTGGTTCATCTATTTTGCCTCCCTTCGCGGAATTACCTGTCCGTATGCCCCTGTTCGTTTATTACAAAACTACAGAACAGACGGCCACCCAGAAGAGAAGTGTGCTGCCGGTTAACCTCTTGGCCCCAATTAGAACGTTGTGGTTAACCACAGACACCTCTTCATTCCAACAGAATGCAGGGTGGTCGTCGTTCGTATGCCGACCACGAGGCGGCAGCCATTTTAAACACGCGAAAGACCAGCGATGTTCGAAGATCTTATGGAACTATAAACGGACACTTTTCCTACCGAACACAGATGAAACTACCGACCGCCCTTCTTTTTCGTAGAGGCATACGAACACCGGTCCATTCTGGAGTTTGGATGATACGAATGGACTTAACACAGATAGCCATCCCATGGAGTCAATCGCATACCGAAAGACATCTGAAAGACTTTGACTCCATGGCGATTGAACTGTGTGTATTTGATCTGAGTGCTATTCAGTAGTAATATGCACTCAGATCCAGGCTATCTGGGGATACGTTACACAAATCCAATGTATTCGGTATTTGTACAGTTATGTATTTTTATGTGTTTTTCATATACCATGTAAGATGGCCGTTTGCCTCTATCCTTGGAGATAATTGGATTTCTTCCCAATTATCTCCAGGATAGAGAGGAGGGATTTACTTGTATAAAGGGGAGTGTTTAAATCTGGGCCACTGTGATTGGCCACTGTACCATACATGTCTCAGTCTTCCATCTGGTCCCCTAGGGGAGTGTCCACCAGGTGGGAGACCTGCATAAATACCGGGCAGGTAGCCATCATTAAACAGATTCCTGTTTTACCCTCAAGACAGAGCTTGGTCTCATGTTTGGGGGGATTGCTACTTGGAAGGATTTAGTTCGCCTGTTTTAGCCGTGGAAGAAATTCGGCTGACTTTGTGTTCATGGATTTGCCGTATTCCCTTGCACTCCGTTTGGGAGTTTGGCAGTCTGCTGTATAGAGCCTGTGTCTCTGGAAAGGGGGAATATCGGCTAAACGGCAGTTTCATCCATTTAAGCTGTAAGTGTCTTAACAAAAACTAACTAACAATAAACAAACATTTTGTCTACAGCTTCAGATTTCACACTAAAAAACAACAATTTTTAATTCTTATTACAAGATTCTCAATGCATTTGCATGCTAGAATATTACACAGTCTGGTGTGTATAGTTGTGTGTGGTATGTATACAAGAATACAAGCAAAAAGTCACAGGATACTTAACAGGACACTCTAGATACACTCTGGATGCTAACACAGCTTAAAGGAACACTATAGTGTCTGGAATACAATCTGACACTATACTGATAAAACCCATTTTAGATTGCCAGCACCCCATATCCTCCTTTAAAAGAATTACCTTTATTCCACTGTTGCGCAGGTCCTCCATGGCTGGCTTCGCTCCGCCCCACCCACTTGGGACATAAGCATGCTACAGCGACACTGTGCCCAACACAGAGTTCTGGAGGCATTTGTAACTCACTCTACCTTTGATCTCATGGTTTATTAAGATATCGCTAGAAACCCTCAATGGCAGCATTTTCCAATAATACATTGTTCACCATTTTGTATCTGTAAATTAACATGAACTACCTCTAATCACAGGCAGACTGGGAGATGTATGTTATAGCATCGCCTTAAGATTAAAGAAACAGTAACTTTAGCTTTAAAACTATAATACTAAACGAGCACTCACAATAATATTGTATAGAAAATGTATGTATCATGGGAAAATATTGCAATAACAATAATCCTATGGTTTACTGATCCAATAACTCTTGCAGTAAACAATGACATCTAGCATATCCTTAACTTTACCCCTACCCCTAAAACTAACATACTAATCCTAACCCTAAAATATATATCATCTGATTCAAAAGATACACAATTGTAAAGAATAGTGTAATTTGGGAAATTAATGCCATAATAATAATCCTGTGGTTCTCATATTCAATTAGAGAATCAGTGAGATAATCAGAGAGAGAGAGAGAGAGACAGACAGACAGACAAAACGATAGACAGAGTAAGAAAGATGGGCAGATTAGATGGGCCGAATGGTTCTTATCTGCCGTCACATTCTATGTTTCTATGTTTCTAAGTGTGTTTTCCCTCATTTAAATAAATGTGGCAAACTTGTTTTTTATTATAAAGTGTTATGTCTTTTTTGGGGGGCTTCCTACTCTAGTTCCTCTTTAACAGGCACAGACAGTTTTTGTCCTGTTTTATATCACTGTGATACCCAGTAAGACTTACATACCAGTTAGCACAGTGATACAGTGAAGTATCAGATATATCTGTATTTTTAATAATTAATTGATATTCAGTGCCTGCACTGTTTCTTGAGCCAGTATAGTGGGTTAAAGATATTCCGGGTCCATACACAGGAGATTGTATTGTATGATGATGGCCAAAAATAAGCTTTGGAGGTTCACCCTTTGTTTGTTTAAAGAAAGCCATTCCATCAGATTGATGGGCTCCTACGATGCAATTAAAAGTAAAACTTTGTCCAGAACCAACAGATCCAACTGAAGGAATTATTACCGGGGACTGTGAGTGAACATCTGTAAAGATAAAAAGGATTACACTGTGTAAGTATTTAAAACAAAGAACAAGACAACATTATATTTGTTCCTTAACTTACATGATATCCACAGAAACACATAGCATAACAATGTCTGCAACATCATTACTCTTGGATTAAGTCTCACTTTATTCGGTTCTCACTGTAGAAACTATTATTCTGTAAAAAATTCTTCTAAGCTCAAAATAAATAGCTTAAGCAGCAGTAGTTAGGTACACCTTCGTGAACATGCAAATATCATGCAAAACATATATATGAATAACCCAGATACAGTAAACAACACTGTCTCAAGAAGCATATCTTGGCAACTGAAACTAGAAATGTAATATCTCTAATTATGGGGGCAGGGGTTAACAGAAGATGTTGGAATGTCCCAGGAATCAAGCATATATATATTTTTTTTTTTTGGAGATGACCATGTCACTGTGTGGAATGAACTCTGGATTTGGAGATTTCAGTTAATAGTGATATACTGAATATGCTTTAAAGCCATGCCTGTTATAAATGTGTTATAGTGTTCTTGCCTCAGTCTTTTCATTGGCGTTCGTTAATTTACAAATGTAAAATGAATTGGGACAATATTAGAATGTTGAACAGGAATGTCGTCTTCTCAATAAGGATACACAGGTTTCACTAACTTGGTGAAACACAAAGGTGCTTAAAAGAGTACAAATGTAATGGAAATTGCAATTTCACTCTGTTACAAAGGAACTGAATATACTTCCGGGAATTTGAATGAATGGGTACCATAATGTAAGCATCTTCGAGGTCTATTTTTATTAACCAATCATTTTTAAAATCATCTTTCCATTCTTAAATGCTTGTATTTCACCAAAGCATTCAGTGACTTAAATAGAGAAAACACCAAATAAACAGATAGGGGGCGCAATCTAAAGAAAACCAAAAAAATATTAAAAATATACTTAATCACTTGGATTCAATGTTGAGGAAATAAATAGACATGGTATATCTAAAATATAAAGAAAAAAAACGCTTCTCATAGCATAACCTGTGCAGGTTAGTATAAAATAAGCATGGTATATCTAAAATATAAAGAAAAAAAACGCTTCTCATAGCATAACCTGTGCAGGTTAGTATAAAATAAGCACAAGAGACAATTGGTAACTCACTTTGCTCGCGCTCTCTCACACACTCTCACTTGCTTGTTCACACACAAGTTGCTTTCTCTCTGCTCTCACACTCTGCTCTCACACTCTGCCTGCTCTCTGCTCACTCTTTGCTCACTCTCTGCTTCTAAATTCTCTACAAAGATGGTGTCACAGGGGTGGGATCATATAGTGTGCATAAATGTTGCATGCTGGTAGTGCTCCCTGATTGGCTGCACTGTCTGTGCAGTGAAAATATCATTTTGTAGAATGTATAAATACTAAATATGTAGAATGTATAAATACTTTAATTTTTAGTGGTCTGGGTGCTGCTGTGGTCCACTATGCAATGTAAAACATTGCTGTTTAACCCCTTCCTGACCAAAGATGAAAATTTTTCTTCAAGCTTGTCCTTGCGTTAAGGACCCTTGACGGGAAAATTTCCACCATTTACTAAAGTTAACCCCAGATCGCCGCGCTCATGGCGATCGCGGGGTTAACGCTCACCCGGTTTGCCTCGGTATTCGAAGCAGACCGGGAGTACCTGATCGCACTGTCCTTGCAGTGATCGCTCTTCCGCGGTCAGTGTGAAGTGCAGGGAGACGGACCAGTGCTGCTCCTCTTCACCCTGTGTAAAAAAAATAAAAAATTTTAAAGCTAAAACCCACCCCTCTTTCCCCCTCTTTAATAAAATGAACCCCTTTAATGCAGGGCCGGCCTTAGGGTTGTGCGAGCTGTGCGACTGCACAGGGCGCCATGGAGCAGGGGGCGCCATGTGTCCGACACAGTTCACACATGGCCGGCCGGGATTTTAAAAAAAATTAAAAAGTGTGGCGGGGCGGAGCTTCCAGGGCGGCGGGGCGGAGCTTCCTGTGTGGCGGGGCGAAATGAAGCTGACGGCAGGATCGGAGCTAAAAGTACCAGATAATTGCTGCAGGGGAAGCAGGAAGGAGACCCTGTTTCCCCAAAAAACAGTCTCCAGGAGCTGCATGCCTCCACAATGAACAGAGGTAACTATGTGTGATTGTCTGTGTGAGTGTGTGTGTCTGTGTGTGTATGACTGTCTGCCTGTGTCTGTGTGTGTGTGTGTGTGTGACTGTCTGCCTGTGTCTGTGTGTGTGTGACTGTCTGCCTGTGTGTGTGTGTGTGTGTGTGTGGTGACTGTCTGCCTGTGTGTGTTTGTGTAGCTGTCTGCCTGTGTGTGTGGCTGTCTGCTTGTGTGTGTGACTGCCTGCCTCTGTGTGTTTGTGGATGACTTCCTGTGTGTGTATAACCATCTGCCTCTGTGTGTGTGTGTGTGGCTGTCTGCCTGTGTGTATGTGTGTAGCTGTCTGTGTGTGTGTGTGTGTGTGTGTGTGTAGCTGTGTGTGTGTGTGCGTGTGACTGTCTGCATGTAAGTATGTGTGTGTATGTGTGTAAAACTGTGTGTGTATGTGTGTGTGTTGCTGTCTGCCTGTAATTGTGTGTGAGTGTGTGTATCTATTTGTAACTGTATATGTGTGTTACTGCCTGTACCTGTGTGTTTCTGCCTGATCCTGTGTATGACTGTCTACCTGTGTGTGTGTGTCTCTGTGTGTATGACTGTCTGCCTGTGTGTATATGACTGTCTGCTTGTGTGTGTGTATGACTGTCTGCCTGTGTGTTTGTTTGACTGTCTGCCTGTGTGTGTGTGTGTGTGTGTGTGACTGTCTGCCTGTGTCTGTGTGTGTGACTGTCTGCCTGTGTGTGTGTGTGACTGTCTGTATGACTACCTGTATGATTGCCTGTGTGTCTGTGTGTGTGTATGAATCTGCCTGAGGTGTGTTTGTGTGTGTGTGTGTGTGTGTGTGTGTGTGTATGACTGCTTGTGTGTGTCTGTGTGTGAGCTGTCTCCCTGTGTGTGACTGTCTGCCTGTGTTTGTGTGTGTGTGTGTGTGTGTGTGTGACTGTCTGCCTGTGTGTGTTTGTGTCTGTGTCTTTGTGTATGACTGTCTGCCTGTGTGTGTCTGTGTGTATGACTGTCTCCCTGTGTGTGACTGTCTGCCTGTGTTTGTGTGTGTGTGTGACTGTCTGCCTTTGTGTGTGTGTGTGTGTGTGTGTGTGTGCATGACTGTCTGCCTGTGTGTGTGACTGTCTACCTGTGTGTTTGTGTGGCTGTCTGCCTGTGTGTGTTTGTGTGGCTGTCTGTGTGTGTGTGTGTGTGTGTGTGAAAGACTGTGTGTGCGTGTAAAACTCTATGTGTGGCTGTGTGTGTGTGTGTGTGTGTGTGTGGCTGTCTGCCTGTAATTGTGTGTGAGTGTGTTTATCTCTCTGTAACTGTGTATGTGTGTTACTGCCTGTACCTGTGTGTTTCTGCCTGATCCTGCCTGCGACTATGTGCATGTGGTAGATTTGACAGTGTATATGTATAACTGTGTGCATCTGACTGTGGGACTGTATGCACATAACTCTGCAAAAATATACACCTGCATTCACACACAGGTCTAAATGCATGTTTTTGTCTGAATTAAATAACCATCACACAAAGCCAATAAACCCAGCACAAATATCACATACAACCAATACAAGCATATAACACACTAATAATACACCCATTACAAATATCCCACACAGCCAACACACCTATCACATACACAGATAACACAAACATTACATCATACATAGATGACAGGGGGTGAGGGGGTGCTGTGAAGATTTTTCGCCCAGGGCTCCTTAAGGCCTAAGGCCGGCCCTGCTTCCATGCCAAATGATCACTGACTACAGTGATCAATTGGCAGGGAATACATTTTACTGTCATCTGATTTTTTTTTTTTTTAACCCTCAGGGGTTAAATTTATTTTATTAATTAATATGAATATTTTAAAATTATATATTTAGCTAGTGGGGGTGGGTGGAAGTTAGTGGGAATTGAGGGATTTGGTGTTAGGCTAGCTAGGAGTTAACGTTAAAAAAAAGTTTTAAAATAAGCTTTAAAAAGTTTTTTTTTAAGTTTTTTAAAATGTTTTAATAATGTTTAAGTAAAAAAAATCCCACCCCCATTTACACAGAACAAATAAAAATTAACCCCTTCCCTGACTGTTAATCAATGCCTACAGTGATCAAAATACAGATCACGATATTAGACTGTGATCTACTTTTTTTTTAACGCCTGAGGATTAACTTTGATTTATTTTTTAACCCTCAAGAGTTCAATTTATTTCATTAATTAATTTAAATATTTTAAAATTATATATTTTGTTATCTGGTGTGGGTGGGAGTTATGGGACAGTGGAGAATTTACTGTTAGTGCTGCTTACTGCTAGTTAGGGGTAAACGGTAAAAAAAAAGTTTATAAAAAAAATTAAAAGTGTAATAAAAGTTAAGAAAGTTTAAAACATTTAATAAGTAAAAAAAAAGTTTAAAAACTGGTTTTAAAAAGTAAAAAAATACATTTAAAAAATGCTCATTACCACTACACTTGGAACATATTAGCGAAAAAATTAAAAATTATCCCACGCTGAGGTTCAAAATATGCCCTTTAAATTACCCTATGGTGTATTCTTTAATAAATAGTATGTGTTTGTTTGGAAGTTTGAATAACCAGCCAGCTAATCTACTCCAAAATGGGACATGGACACAGCGTAAAACTTCAAAGTAAGAAAAACCTGGAATGGCTGTGTCTGAAATGCGCCCCTTCAATGTCCACATATATGTGGCAAATGAACATACGGGGGTATTGCTGTACTCAGCCGACATAGCTGAGCAACATATGAAGTATTATACAGTTGTAGCACACATAAGGTTTGCTAAATATACTGTGCAAACTGACTTTGTGTCAAAAAGGCAGAGAAAATGCTTATTACCACTACACTTGGTACATGCTAGCATAAAAATTATTCCACGCTAGGGTGATCCCCAAGAAATACCCTATCAGGGCATCTGGGAATACGCCAGACATTACACCGGGTAACCCAGAGCTTCTTCTGGCCTGGGGTATCTGATGACGTCCAAAGTTATTGCCAAACCTGTGAGGTATGTCAGCAAGTAAACCAAGATGC